ATAACCACTCGAACGCCAGACCGTCCAAGGTATGTTGCGTTATATTTACTTTTATATGATTTGTCTTGTTATATTATTACAACGCGTTTGGAGCATATGTGATTTTATTGTTACTTTAAGATTTATCATATTTATTATTACTTTTTTTGTTAATATACTGTGCGCTTTTGGCTCGTTTATCCAGGCATTTGATATCATTTCATTAATTATCCTTGTTAAGTGTTTTTTTTTTTTTTTTGCAAACGCGAGTACGTCACACAATCGAACTAATGATGGTTTGACTGCGAAGCGCACAAACAAGCATAAATACGAAAGATGACAATCAGTACAGTAGTTGTAGTGAACCATTAACTTCACCATACATGGTTAAAATGGCAAATGCTGTTTCACTAAATCTATTGCCCAAAAATTCAAAAGAAAGATATACAATGGCTTATGAAAAACTTTTAATATTGAGAAAAATAAATAAAACCAAATCTTTGTCGGAAAATGTGTTTCTTACAAATTTTAACAAATTATCTGCAGAAATTAAACCGTCAACTCTATGGTCTATTTATTTAATGATTAAAAGCATGAAAAATATAAAACATAATAATGTTAAACTTATTTAAAATTTCAAGTTTTTTAAAGAGAAAATCAAGTGGATTAAAAGTAAAAATTCCAAAGTTTTGATTTCAACCGATATAAAAAATTCATTGACCAAGCTCCTGATATTCAATATTTAGTAAAAAGGTAAGTGAGATAAAATTGTTTTGTATATATTGTATACATTCTCCGTTCATTTATTACGATATATGTAATATTCATTGGTAAAATAAATATTACACATTAAATTTCTCTACTCAAAAACATATTGTTCACGACCATTTACTATTAAAAAAGAGTTATATGATATGTTTAAGAAATACATGAATTTACGACTCACAAATGTAACGTCAGATAGATTTTTTTTTTAGTTATAAAAACGATTAATGCATCAAGCAGGTTATTGAAAAAAACAAAATTGGAAATATGCCTAAAGTAATTACAATATATTTAAATTTACTGTATTCCCGAGCTGATACAAGTCATTCAACTTCAGTAACATTATTTACCAATTCTTCTGGTGATGTTACAACTAGTGATGGGAATAATCATTCAATTATTATTTTTCGATTATAAAAATAATCGAAAGATTTTAATAATTGAAATAATGGTAACAGTCATATTTACCAAAAGTAAATCAATTAAATTAATCGAAAAAATTGCGTGTTTTACTCATTTCCCATTGGGTACTAAATTAAGTAGTTGACTGTCCATCAGTATTGTATTGTAATTGTTAAAAATAATATAATTACCGAATTTAACTGAGACTACAGGTACCTAATTGGTAAAGGATCCAGGTCTTATAATTTTTGAGAGAGCCTACTGGGATTTTCCGGTATCCCGGTAGGCCAGTATTCGCCTGCACATGACGAAGTAAAAATGTATTATAATTCATAAACAAATCGTACAGCAGCCATATCGATAATAATGTGATTACGATTCCGAGTGTGGCACAGCGCAGAACGGCCGTCTCCATGTATGAATCATAATATTAAAATTTATTGTTTTGCACAAATATATTGCGTCGTTTTTTTTTTTATCCTATGAAAACTCATTGATTCCGTAAGAGATTGATTCATTTTTCAACATTTGATCTATGGGAAAGGTATAAAATGTTTAACGTGTCATTATGGATGGTGTAATGCAATTTCATTACGATATATGGGACACACGACTACTTTATCATTATTACCTATATTATGTATTAAATTTCACCAAAAAAAAGTTAATTTTCATAATGCCATAATCGTATTATATAATTATTCGATAGAACGCGTGGTGTCAAGACACCCAACTTCTATTCAACATTTTTCGTGTTCAGCGTAAAGTTCTACTCACAAACGGTAGACCCGAACGCCTTTGGTGTATAACGCATTATACGGTATGATATGCATAGGTATTATGTCGTAGCCCAAGTGGATGCGCAGTGACTTCGTAACGGGGTATGGTTAGTGGTATCACGGTTCTGTGGTAATAGCTGTAATAACTCGCGCATCGAGTTGTTTCGCCGCATAAAATTACAGTTCAAAACACTCGGTGACCGGTTCCGCGGGAATCGACGGATCGGAAAATAAGGCTGGAACCCGATTAAGCACGATTGATCTTTTTCGTAACCCAATTGAACATGGTTGAAAATCAAACAAAAGGAACCAAAAAAAAAAAAAAACCCCAAAAACCCTTCGATTGAGCATAAAATGGGTGCGACTTTTTCGCTTTGTACCGTAAAATATTTCAATAATTCACCATTTTTTCTAATCCCAATAAACCTATACTTGAAAGTTCCAACATTAGTTAACTCTTTGCCTCTCTCGGATAAAATAATTTTTATTTCATTATTTTCCATTTCAATTTTCAAAATACACATTATTTAGGAATACAACACGAGCACACGATACAACAGAACAGACTGGATATTATTTACAGCGTAGGTACAAATAGTAACAAAGCAATCGTTGTAGATAAAATTCTGGTTTCCTATCTATCAAAGTAATTTTAAACTTCTGTGGTACCCATCAATCGATAGCGAAATTTTTTTCGACTAATAGTTAGTTTCCTATTAGTAATCTACATACAATACATACAATACATACTAGTAAAAATCTGACAATGTTGTACACACTATTTTTTTACCCTACCTAATCGGGTCATCAAAAAGATCGGCCGATAACGACCTTGCTCAATCAAGTATCACGGAAAAATAAACATTCTGTGCACAAAGACACTTTTAGAAATCAATACCATTTTAACTCATTGGTTTGCTTCCGTTTGGTGCACCCGTATTTCGTGCTAGGCTACTGTATACAGGATAAACTACGGTATAATAATAGTGTATAATACCGCAGTACCTAATAGCATCAGACGTTTATAGTACGTTATAGTCTTATATAATAAATGTAACTACGTGTATAGCAAAGATATCTATAGATTTGGTTCTGCCATTTAATTTTTTTTCACATTATGTACACATCAAATATAAATATAATAATAACGGTCTGTACATACTTCAATGTTATACATGCAACAACAAAACTTTATGTATTTTTTTTAGTTTCATAGTGCAAAACTTGTCGACTTAAAATGTTAAGTTGGAGCTACTATAACCGTGAAGATAGAAAAAACATTGATTTGTGAAAATGATAAAAGTTCACATGGTCACAACAATAATAACATGCGCATGACCTCCAATTATTGTCTTGTACAAATTCGACAGCGAGCGGGTGAAAGGGAGACGGAGAGAGAGCTTGCGCTTAAAGGGTTGCTCACCGTTATTACACCATTATACATATAAACATATGAATTATTGTTCGTTGACATGCTGTGAAGTCGAAACGCGTGTGCGGAGAGACAGACGTCTGACGGTCAATTATACGTGATGTCCCGCTGACATTGTTCCCATTATAAACACCCTGTGGCACACGCGACTTACAATTAAAACGAAACGCAACGCAATTTCTCCCACGGGCCTGTTCGGGGTTAATATTTCATTTCATTTTTTTTTTGTTTTTCCACACAATACAATGAAATCGTATACCAATTAGTAGAAAAATACGATTTACGTTTTACAGTATTTTTATTTTATAAATTCAATCATATACTCGTATATGGTTTATCCATGTGTTTTCGTTCGGAAGAAAAATAAAGTGTTCGGACGAATAGTATTATGCCGTTTTAATTGATTTTTTTTCGACTCTTTAACTTTTTTTATTTATTTTTAATTTTTAACAAGACATTTTCTTTTCACATATTTTGTAGTTAAATATAACATTTATACATTTTACTGTTGATGTTTATAAAAAATATAAAAGAAACTAAAATATTAAAAATTAATAATCGAAAAAATCAATGGTTAAACTGATTAAATTACAATTATTGATATTTAAATAATTTGTCAAACAATTATCATATATAAAAAATGCAGTCCATTGCCATGGTTATTTGACTTACCACTAACAGTAAATTTATCGCCTTATTAACAGCTTTTACAACCCTTACTGAAATAAATATTATATCAAAATACTTCCGTCTATTCTGATTATAATTATTATGATTTAGTGTTTAAAAAAAAAAAAAAAAATGTTAACTATATATACACTGCATGATTAACATGGTTTACAAGTATAAGAACTATTAAAAGTTGAAACCATAATATTCATACCGGGTATAAGTATTAAAATAAAATAAGGATAAACGGTATACAATTCAATGTAATAATCTTCATACGACTATCGGGTATAATCTGCTTATTTTTAAATTATACACTGCGATTAACGTGTCGATTGCCTACAAGCAATACGTAACGAAGTTGTCTGTTACCGAACCGGCGGAGATAAAAAAAACTGTGCGGTCCGGTGCTAAGGGCCTGCGAGAGATCGAACGCTATTGGGAGAACATAATATTGTAGCAGGCACTAAACGTACGCAGAAGTATTCTTTTGTCGAGACGTTACAATAAATGTTCGTTTGGGGCACTGAACACCGGCTAGTTTTCACTGTTGGGATTCGAGTGGTTGCTGTGAACACGGTGTGATTTGTCGTATACGCCTTGCTATTGTGTTCACGCTGAACGAACCGTACAATACGACGAGCTACCCCAGACGTAACAACGTCGATTAACGTCGGTAAAGTGCGAAACAAGTGCGTTCAAATCACTGTTTTCGTAACAGAAGCGCTCGTGGAGATTAATAAGAACAAAAAAATAAAAACGGTTAGGTAAGAACTATACTCGTACGTTAAAACCAAGTACAAGAGTTACATATGTGGGCGTATGGTTCACTAAAAGTAAAAATAAATTCAGTATTATTTGAATATATATATATATATTTAATGCTATAATATATAATGTATATATAGTACATATACATGTCCATAATTTATATATATATATATATATAATAATAATAAAACATAAATTACTCTTTTTCACGTTGTATATAATATTACGTGGATTATGTACAAATAAATAATAAACAATCTACACGGTTAACAGGAATACGCATATTATAAACACATAATTATATTATCATGTTCTGCTTAGTATTTATGTGCGTTACGATACATTACATTATATTACATCAAATCTAGATAAATGCAATAGTATGATCGAAAACGAGAAATATATTGTCATCGCAAGGTGTATGTACAGTATTTATCATCCGCTGCTACATAAATTATCATTATTGGAACAGAATATACAACACTGGGGTGGACGAGATGTCCGGAAAAACGTTTTAACATGATGTGCGATCGAAACGTTTCCGTCAAATCTCTTTTTCTCTCTACATTTATATGTAAATCTCTTCATCTCTCCATCGAGTTCTTGCAGTATATCCGGATACCAAACATCGATGTTTCGAATCAAAAACAACGGCCTCGGCGTACGAGTCGGGCCGTTAACATCATCGTTCATCGTTATAAGAATATTATATTATATACGAAAGCGGGCGTCGACAGTGCCCGTGTACGATATACAGGTACGCGATCCTGTCCGTATTGTTATATCGTAAAAGAGTTGATGAGTTATACAGATTTGGGCGGAAAACATAGACGGGATGGAACGATGGGGCGCGCTCACCTCTAGGCTTAGAATGAAACGTATAATGGAAGGAACGCGTGATATTTTAATAAAATAATTGTTCGTCGTTGATAAACACATGTGTTTTTATAAGAACTATACGGATATCTAAGACGTTTACGACGCGGATGCACATTCGCCTGTCCCTATAAGTGTTCCGAGTGCCACTGCGCGTGAGCCATTTGACGCAGAACACACACGCAAGCGGATGTCATGTCGAACGACCTCGGTTGTATGGTGCGCGCGTAAGGAACGAACGATAAATACGTTCCTCACGTCCATCTCTCACGCCGGTCGGTCGCGTCGTAAGTGGTGCCGAACGCGTCCTCCGGACGACCTCTCGGCGGCGGCGGCGGTGACGGCCATCAGTGCACGTACTCGTTGACGACGGCGTAGTGTTGGGTGTCCACGATCACGCCGTGGTGGTGATGATGGTGGCCGACCGGCGCGGCGGCCGTGGTCGTGGCGGTCGCGGCTCCCACGGGCGTCAGCGTCTGGTAAGCGGCCGCCGCGACTGCGTGCTGATCGTCGTGGCCGGCCGCGGCCATCAGCATGGCCGCCGGTGGCGTGTAACCGCCCGCGCCGGCCTGATGCGCCAGCATTCGGTCACTCTCGTTCGAGCTGGAACAGCTGGAACCCGAGCTGAACGGCCGCGCGCATGTCTGGTCGTAAGGGTAGAACAGATCCGGGTAGATGTACTCCTCGACCGTGTACATGTTGTTCGGCATCATGTTTGGGTGATGGTGGTGATGACCGCCTCCGTTGACCAGCGACTGCGGTTCCTGGAACGGTAGAGTTATATAGATCAGTGTTATGCGAGTGCGCGCACGAAGGGGGTTGCGTTGGGGTTGACCACAGTACGAACTAAATTAATTTTCTAAAATTTTGACTTTATACTTGAAAATATACAAAATCCCATTCCTTTTTTCTTTCCATTCAATCGACGGAGGATATTAAAATAAACATTATTGTTCCTTCTATTACGATATCGATACACCATACCTAATATTATCAGATTTTAAAAGTTAAACTGTCGAGCCCAGTAAACCCTTGTCCATCTATATAATCGCTCGAGACATACATTTATTATTCAATTGTCGAAGAAACCCGCTTTGAATATAATTTCGTTTTATGGATATTTCACAGCATAACCTTTTGATCTAGAGATTTTTTTTAGTTATGTAGACGATAATAGTTAGAACTATTACAAGAATCTATTTCGATGTGATATCATTAAGTAAAGTAAAATATTATTGAAAATTGATAAGAACGCGTTTTTTAACACACTTGTTGAAATCATTTCGTTTTTTATGGCAATAGATTTTATTCACAATAATCGATTTAAAAAATATTGACAAAATACAACGCACGAAACAATGGAAATTCGTAATAATATTGCTAGTGACCGATTACAATCTACATATTTTAACTTTTACCACGATTGTTTCATTGGTTTTCATAATTCAGTTTTAAAAATTTAGTGCCGTTTTAATTTTTGTTAATTATGATTTACAAAGTGTTATTGGTAAGTAAATAATATAGTTATTGACGAGTGTGACTGTGCATAAAAAACTTTTTCGCGTATACAACAACTACCGTGTACCATGCGTGACCAAATTATGATAATATTTATCGAACTACAATTGACGCCCACCTAGCCATAACGATATGATTAGGATTTAAAATTTCGGAAAGAGATTTTCGGGTTTGTTATTAAAATTCTTTTAGTTCAAATTTGCCCCGTAAAATAACAATGTAATCGAAACATGATCAGTGAAGTAATTTGGAGAGGGGAAATTCATTCATATGCCTAGAGTTTAGTTATTTCAAAGTCGGTATATCGTCAAAATATAAATATATTTTTTATAAAGCCATTAACATGTTGTAAACCAGAAAAATGAGACGTGTACTGTACGGATACTTATGTACAAAGTACAAATCATTATATTTTGGGACTGGTTTCACGTCCACCTCCCTCCACGTTAATCGATACTTTGGTAAAATGAGCTGTTGAGTCGAAAATTTAATAAGAGCACGCCGATTGCTCTACTCTAGAAAAAACTGAATACGCCACTGAACACGTAAAAGAATATATATTTAAATAATAGCAGATACTAGTAAACAAGCAAATTAATAAAAATGCATTTTTTGATTGAAACATATTCTAATCGTTTTCGTTATTTTGTTTAATATATGTAATATAAGTGTCCACAACTCCTATGCACACACGTCACACTGTATAGTATAGTGTGAAGTGTGTAATACTCATATAAAATATTTGAAATTTCTAGGACGATAAACATATATTGTTCGAAAATCACGTAATACGTGCACGCAAACGACACTTCCGTGCACAAAGGGTCTCGCCCCTCAAAGTATTTGACTACACCCCAATTATGGCGCGTTCGCCGGCGGCGACGACGACATTTTAACATCGTTTACGCGCGTACCTTTTTGCTTATAATTGTTTGAATTACCATATAGTTTTTCTTTAAAAAAAACCACGGGGCACCATAATTGTTGTCCTACTTATTACAGTCATGTGGTAGGTTTAAGAGTACGCGTAAACTGTACCCTGATGTTTTCTAACCTATTTCAAATGGAATTTACAAGTTAATGTTTATGTTGTTGACAACATCCATAAATAGAAAGATCTAACGTCAAATATTCTCTCATTATATTTATATCAATCGAGATTTCTAAGAGTTGTGTAATTATATTAATAAGATATTCAAATGAAAACTAAAAATCGTGTAGGAACATATTATTATATAGACGTTTTTGGTTTTATTTTTCATTTATTTTTTTCGTTAATGACTCTCCGTAACAGTGTATATCATCGCTACGTTAGATGTTAGCCGATGGGTCGATGGGTACAATCGACGCGATCATAACAAAAGTCTTCGGAGAATTTTTGTCCTGGGATTGGATATTGTCGGACACATTTCTCGCTTACCTCGTATATTTCATATCATAAAATATTCTCACACGAACTATATGTAATAAAATAATCCCGTATTGGAACTACATAGTGTTCCCACACAAATTATTATTATTATACATTTCACGACGTTGGAGTCCGGCGATAACAACAATAGTAAATGTTCGAGAGATAATGTGAGTTTATGTACAAGAAAAAAGAATAAACAAATTTACGAACGAATAAAACTGAATGCCTGTAGTGTACGTATTATGACTTCTGAAAATAAAATAAATCTAACTCCACTGGAATTGGAAGTAGGACGAACAAATTATGTGATAAAGCGCTCTCCCCGTATAGCGTAACACGTGAACAGATTTTATACTTTAATTATGTACGTGTGAACACAGTAAAGTGTCACTCTATGGCATGATAAAAAATATGTTTTCAACGCATTTGTTGCGAAAATAGCTACGAAAACGATGACTGAACGTAATTCTGAACTCGATATATAAAAATGTACTACGTATGAACGTATAAGATAATAATAATGCTATGTATAATATATTTGCTCTTTTTTGTTTCATTTACGTACTTCACGCGATTATTTTATTTTATAATTGTATAAAATGTATACTATATTTATACAATATTTAATATTATTTTATTACCTAGCTAAATATTTCAATGTAATGTGTTCTTTATTTTTGTTGTGTAAAATCAATTTTTTTTTCTCTAACCGAATAATATCATGTAAAAACATATATTATCAAGGGTATTATTATTAAAATTAAATTATATTTACGGACTCCAATTTAGTTTGCATACGTTTTAATTGTTAAGTCACTACTGCCACTTAGTTATGTTTGGTAAAATTTCAAAGATTCAATAAACTGGAATTAGAATATGTTTTTCATTTATTTATCTCGTTATTCGTATGGCATTAAGGTAAGTGCGGAGAAGGCAACGTTATAGTATTGAATGGTTATGAAACGAGTTTTGAGTTTTATGTAACGACATTTTGCAACGACGTATAATGTAGTACGCCCAGCAGGAATGCAGTTCTAAAACATTTAATCTCCATTTGATTTGAAGTTCTACGAGAGACTATTAATCTCTATATTATATGCATGTAATAATTTATTACAAAATATTGGTTAAATGTTCGTGGTAGATACGAACATTTACATCACAATTAGTAACTACTTTAAAAACAGTATGTGAAAACTTAACAAATAATTATAAAATAATAGGTATTAAAGCATAATGTATTTTCATTTTCATTGCGCATAAAAATTGTTATCAATCAATTACTTTAGCTCTTGTTACGGAAAAATGTATTCTCCTTCATTCTATATCAAACGTTATTTTAATACACCATTGTAGTTTATTGTATATTGAGTATTTAATTATTAAATCCATTAACAAATGTATTGCATGTTTACAGTATTTCGCATGTTTAAGCAATAAGTTCGTATATGTTAATTGTGTATGAATTCTTATCCTCTGTTTTAACACAGGCCAATATTAAGTATTATAAAATGAATTCGTTATCGTAACACTTACGCTGTTGTTGCTCACGTAGTCGTTGTAAAGTCCGCCGCTGGAATCGCTGTACTCCTCGTCGGTCACCACCGGTGGCCTGTGGTACCTGTGATTTTGATTCGATTGCCTTTGGTTTTGTTGCGCTTTGGTCGGTTTGTTTTGAACGGTCGCCGCATCTTCGTTGCCGTTCTGCGACATTGCGCTACTGTTGTTGCACACGGACAGACACACGTCTTTCATCTCGGACTCGCTGTACGGACACGAAATCGACAGTCAATAAATAAACCGTATGCTTATTTAACAACGGGCGCGTAAAATATTTCCACGTGAAACGCAGAATCCCAACACTTCTGTATAACCCGTATGTATTTTGATTTACAACCCATTATGTTTATTATTTATAATACTGCGTAATATACGTCAATCGTTTAGCGATTCTTTGTGAAATCGTATCCTTACACCCAGTGACGTAGCAAGGGTATGGCGACCTGTGCCTACGGCAGGGGCGAAAATTGCAAAGGGGCGCAAAATTTTGTAAAAGTCGTATTTTTATCCTACAATCAAATCAACATTTTTCCATTGTACTTTTTGAAATACGTAAATGTTGTCTATTTGTACACATTACGTGTGAATTTAACGATGAAATTATGAAAATAGCACAAGGGCATTTACGTAAAAAATTTCATATGAAGAAATTATTGATGAATTTGCTAGTCATAAAGCGAAAAAAAACATTTTCAAAGTTTAAAATTAATATTGTAATAATAACTTATAAATATCAATTGTAAATTTAAAATAAATTAGTAAAATTAGAGGTTAAAAAAATATCATAACATCAAATTTTAATTGGTTAAAATGCGTTTTTTTCTAATTTTGCCAGGTGCGCTAACGAGTCTTCCTACGCCACTGCGTACACCGATCAACCGATTAAATCAAATATTGTAACGATCGACATGAGCACATCCATATGCGGTTCTTTTTTTACATCAAGTTCGCATTGTACAGATCCATTAGAGCGCACACCACTCACCTTAATACGTAGTTGACGCTAACTATGCAATGAGGTCTTGAAGATCTACTGTTGTGGACTATGGTTGCGTAACTCTGAACCCACACCCATCCACCGTCTTTGGCCAACAGCCTATAGTACTTGGTCGTGACTTGGCCTTTTAATAGCACTGAAACGAGCGACATCAACGTTTATTAATAAAAATCCTCAATTTGGATGTCGTCATTCTATAAAACTTACGAGTATGATGCGAAAGTCTCATGTTATGGATATCATTACCGTGAATATAATGATAGAGGGTTTTTTCTATTAGGTCTTGAGGTTCGTAGCCCGTCAGCTGAGACACCCTGTAATTCAATAACAAAATGTAACACTATACTTTTTACACAAATGTGTTGGTTAAAAAAAATACGAACAAACAAAGGGCGCACTATTCATGTAATACATATTTTATAAAAATAATTATAATAAATATATATACTTTTATATATCATATTCTGTAAAAAATATATATGTACTATTTAGTCAATCTTAAAAATATTTGACTTACCTAGCGTCTAAAAATATAAGTTTCAAGTCTAAGCTCGCTCGAAACATGAACATATTTGAGTGTAATTTAATTTCGGTAATTGCGTGTGGAGGTAATGAATGACCAACGGCCACTAGGCCAACAGTCTCTAATCCTGGATATTGTCTCACTTTAAGGTAACCAGAACAGTGTATAACCTGTATAAAAAAAAAAAACAAAAATAAAATGATATAAGAACATGATTTAAGAGTAATATTAATACTTTAATTTACGATGTTTAATGCATGTGATATACTATTTTATTTATTGAAATAATACAAGTTAAAATATAAAAACACTTTAATATAGTTAAAACTGTTCTCTATGAGTTATAATATGTCACCAACACTTTAGCATTTAGTAATAATATTTACTTATTGAATAATTTACTATCCATTCTGGATATAAATGGTGTACATAAGTTACTAAACTTTTAAAGGTATACGAATATTTACTGAATTAGCTTCAGTATAGGAAAAATCTAAATAAATTTTAAAATTAAAGGAAACAAATACTGTTAAAGATATCAAACATCAAGCACTGTTCACCTAATTAAATTATTTTTTAGATAATTAAGACAAACTCTATTTATGCATATATAATATATATGTATTTATATTATACATACATACATAAATGCATATGTGTTTATGTTTAGATAATATAATAACAAAATATATATACATTTAAATGTGTTTAAATATATACATATATACACATATACATATATATGTATGACCCTTTTACTGTATGAAGGCAATTGAACAGTATATTTACTTGAGAAATATGATCCCCTTGGGTGTTCGACAAAATACTCAATAATGAAACGGATGCGTATTTACACGTCTAAACAAATACATCCATTGGTACAAAAGTACTAACGTTTATTATGTAGGTGTACAATATAAGTACTGCGCTCACTACTCACAAACATTATATATGTGTTATTATGCCGTTGAAAAAACACTATTATACATATACATATAAAAATAACCTAAGACCTGTTCTAAAGGTCATAGCTGCATAATATGGTCACATGGGTTATAATAGGCTAGGTAATAATATAACGTGCTCACTGAGAAGGTGTCAAGAAGTCCATTCATAATAGCCAAGACGTGACCACAACCAAAAATACGAGATTTAAGTATTAGAATAAATTAAATGCGGGTCTCTTCACAGGTGTGATATTTTTTTCCTCGTTCACCTCACTCCTTCTCTATCTCACACACCTACACATCTTCTGTCCCTCCACCTCTCTCGTTTTCTACCTCGCTTATTTTGAAAACATACCCAAAAAATTCCGAAAAAATACCTTCGGCACCCCGGACAATAGATCCCGAATAGTAATAAAAATCATAGGTGTTCTTCGTGTCTCAGACACGTTGGAGCCGATCGTGAGGTATCAATAAGCAGTCGGGATTAGAGACTGTACCTATATATACTTCGAATGCGACCGGCCCGCGTAATCAATCTTCGACTATCGACACCGCATGTGGAGCACATCGGTGTAAAACGTTTTCACTCTCGCATTCGACATACCCCGACTTGGACACGTTTCGGAAAACTTACCTATGGCGAACGTTCGTAATATTACACAATGGAAAGGATTTGAAAATGCTTGTGTATTATTTTTATCGTCGAGTACAATGCTCTAGAACGTGACTACCTATTGCGTTTCGCATTTTCGTATAATACATACAATATAATACAAATACATAACATTACGTGTAAGTACAATAGTCGGTGTGTCGCCAAAAAAAAAAAAAAAAATTAAGTAAATAAATAAAAAATAAAATTATTTTTTTGCGCAGTAAGTGTACATTCTTAAAGGTAAATTCATAGCACAAATTTTATTTGTACACTTTCACACTACATATATACATGACAAGTTGTACATGAAAAATCGTCTTAGGTATAATAATTTATACCATAATATAGTGTATGCAAAATTATTTATCAAAATATGGCCACATACGCATGTATAGGTATCGGAATCTGTTGCGACAATGCGAAGACATGCACGTGTGGACTTAATTTTAGTTGTATCTGAAACTAAAACTTCCTAATAAAGATCTTCAATCATGGATAGTTTTACATTTACGTATATATATATATTATGATCGGCATTGGTATAAGTGTATCTACTCACAAAAAAAAAATTAAGGGAATTATTACACTTTAACTATAAATATAGTAATACCAATATATTAATATTTCGATAATGTTTTAACGAAATAAATTTTTTATGAAATAATTATAAATATTTCTATATGATACAATTTTATCTTGTGTTTTACATAATTTTCAATTTATCCACTTTGATAAGTTACGCTATTTTTCTCTAATCAAGTATTCTTAAATTGAAACGAATTATTAAAAAAAAAAAAAAAATCAAAATACAATTTCCTGGTACTATCAATGTTTAATTTATCTATGAAAATATTGCTCAATAATTTACACTTTTTACTATTCCAATAATTGCTTAACGAAAAGAAACATTAAAAATAAAATATTATGTAAGCCATCCATTACAACTAATCATAATAACTTCCTCGTTATAACAATGATTTATTTAAGTTACTTTTAAGTATATTTTAACTTTTTCCGAATACATAATTGGTTTTTTTTTCAACGATGCAAGACAGACAATGTTTAGATGGCATAATAGTAAAAATCAAATTAGGATAAGCCACTTTACAAACATATCAAACAAACTATAATTCCATATATAATTTAAAAATGATTTGGTAATTTTTAAATTTTCATACGGAGAAACTTAATTAAATTAAATATCTTCATTGATAAGAAAAATAAATTATATTTTAGTAACAATTTTTTGATATTGACTAATATAAATTTATATTAAATATTCAAATTTTGATATTTTTTAATACTAGCTAGTAATAATATAATTTAATATTCTTAATATTACATTAGTAATCGTAGGTATTGCTAACAAACGGATATATATGTAATATAATGTATTCTAAGCTTATGTTTAGAAACCTAAAAAATATAACGATTATAAATTTTAAAACTGTTGTGTTATCTTGATCGATTATGCGTCAAGTATATATTTATTCGGTCAAGTTAATAATTTATAGACGAAGTATTCGCAGAGTCTTATCAGAAACCCTCGCCGTAATAATAACAATAATAATATTATCGTAATATGTTCATAAGTCAATTTCTCAGTTTTCGATATATCGCATAAAATAGTTTTAACGGAAATCAATTGTCAATACGTTAACTTAAATATTATCAGTCTCTATGATTCAATACATTACGAAGGAAATTACCTACTCAATAAAAATCTAAGGCGGTTATTTTAAATCGGTTAATTTCCTCTCAGAGTGACCTCGCGAAAATATAGGGACGATTTTGGAAAAAAAACAGAGGTGATAAATGTAATCCGTTTTAGTTTCAGAATCCGTGATCAAACAATATAGGTATATTACACTGTACATACTTTTATGTATCTCACCTGTCCGGCAGACTATGTGTGGCAAGAGTTGTACGCGTTTTTTGTATCTCTTCGCACGCGATCGAGGATCGTCCAGAGGGAAATAATATAAAAGAGGAGGAGTATTGAAAGGACGCCCGCGGCGCGCACGGCCAATGGCAAACGGACATTCTAAACACAGGTAATATATACGACTACGATTAAACGCGCGCGCGGACTCACACTCACATAACTATGTACAAATACACACATGCAATGTACACGAATGTATACGCAATACACACATACACACATACATACACCTGGCCCCCGCAACATGGCGCCCATTTTATTTCACTCTTTTTTTTTTTTAATTTTTTCTATCCCATTTCCTGCCCCCCTCATATATATTATAACAATCGACACATACCATGTGCACGCCGTAAGTATGAACACACACACACACACACACATATAATTATACAATATAAGTGCATATATATATATATATATATGCAGAACGCGTTTATTATACGAGCCTATATATGCGCGAGCATTAGCTCCGTAATGTATGCACGAACACACGCCGAGGCACATGAGTGATTTTTATGGTCTACACTTAAGCCGTATGCGACACAAAAAAAAAAATGTACATACTACGTACACGGATATAATATGTATATTATTATACATGTATGTGAGTAATAAAGATCATAAATCATGAAACTTTGCCATGGGTGTAGAAAAAGTATGATATATCATTATGTTGTTATACGAACCCGAGCGGTTCGTGATACAAAAGAACGGATTTAAAATTATTAAAATTGTAAAAAAAATAGTAGACTTGAAGTCGTCCCGTCATTCGCTACAAAATCACGTAAAAATCACTGTACAATTAAATCACATAGTAATAATACGTGCTAATAATATAATATAATATAATATCTAGCTGGTATTCGCTTTGTGTTGTGGCCAGTCTCGATTTAATTTTAAACCGTACACGCTGCAACGGTAGTCGTCCCGTGAATGCGGCGGTGGTTGAACACATAATTAATTTTATTCTATTTTTTATTTATTTCTAGAAATTACTGGGCCTCGTTGAGATAAACCCTTGCGGAGAAGGCCGATCACCAAAGCAATACTGTCGAACAGGCCGTGGACAATACAACTAAGTGCTAGATAATGGTGAGCTTTCGGTCACGTCGAACAGCCGTCGACCTTATACGTATTAATGGTACAATATAATATACGCGTGGGCAAAACTGCGGTGCAGACAACGGAAACAATTGAATGGCCATGTAGTAAGACATAATGGAAATAGGAAAAACTTCAATGAACGTCCCAATTCTATGTGATGGAGGCAAACGATCGCCGAGTATAATACCTGTATCATTATTTCTATACATTACGAAATTATATTATTGGTCAGGACCCGGGAACTTGTAAACTTGCGGTTGGAAATTCGTGACTTAGTGAATATGTAAGCAACACCGTAGGTGTGCTGATTTAGTTACATGGAATGGACCTAGAGAAAATATGTTGTCTCTGAACAACTCTAGAATCAACGAGAAATATGTAATACTATGGGCAAAACGTCGCGTATATATACGTATATATGCATACGATGATACTATTAGAAAATAGTCAAATAAATCGACTTTAAATCCTTTGGTATAATACTTAATGTTGAAATAGTAGAATATTTAAATTTTTAATACTATATAAATACGTAATATTCGATCTATAAGTTATGATGCCGTATTGGTTTGATTTCTCTTTTAACTTTGTACATTAGTGAAATATATTACTGTTGGAACGTTTAAATTAAATAAATGTATTAATATCATGTTACCAAATAATACATTTAATAATAATATACAATATATTAATATTATTAATATTATATATGAATTTTATATTATTAAGTTTCTTCTTATATTATGTTTTAATGTTTTCTAAGCTTAATTTTTTTACTTCCTTAAACACCAACACTACACTTAGTACGAAAACATTTAACGTACTTATACTAATATTAAAATTTACACCTAATACACAATAATAATTATTTTAAGTGTAATAATGGTGAAGGTTATTCTGTATTGTTTACACAAATAATTGTTTACATACTAAATTCAACTAGTTTTAATCTGACTTATTATTATTATTATGCCTAAAATATAATATTTTATAAACATTCATTCTTAGTAAATAGTTACATTATGTTTTCTTCAAAATATTATTAAAATATTGTCCGTATTATGAATCATATAAATTACGTTTAGTTAAGTAATGAATATGAATAAGTAATTAGAGATTTAATAATATCTTATACAAGACATGAAATATAAAAATAAGTGTAAATTTAAATTGCACAATTTTTTTAATTTGTTTTATCTCATTCACTGTTTTCCTATGCAGATAAATTAATGATTTCAATTTATAATTAACAAAAAAAAAAAAATGATCATTGGTCATTATTCAATAGAAAAATGTAAATTAATTTTTTATATGCAATAATAGTTTAGTATAAGAGTAAAAATTAATTTAAACAATGATTTATTAGCTTTGTTAGTTTAAACACGTGTATGGACTCAAATCACTAAGAGACGACTGAATAGTAAATTATGAAAAAGTAAACACGTTCAGGTTTATTTTTATTTTTTGTATTGACTGTAAGTGTTTAAACTGCCACCAGACTATTTTATAGCTTTATTGTTTAAGGTCTGGCTAGCAATTTAGTGCAACAATAATATTAAATGTCATTAACCTATCGGTAGCGTTGTTTATCCATGTTATTTTTAATAGTTTTAAATTTTACAATAAAACGAAAATAATCTATTTAATTGCTTTTTTTTTCTTATCGTTATCACATTTATAGGTACCTAAAATAACAATTTACGTGTCTTTATATCTAATTAATCTTAATCTACGTGAAAAAAATGTAGGTATTTTTAATTTAAAATTGATAATGTGTAAATATGAAATACCTAAAAAATAATTAACTTATAAAATAATCTTTTTTTTAAAAAATTTTAAATACAAAAACATTATATGATTTTTTATACTTTAAGATAAGCTACATTATCTGATAATAAATTAAAAATAAAAATATAAATAGGTTTTGCGTAAAAGCAAATAAAAAATTTAATATTTTTGTAACATAAACAAGTACATTTTATGTACCTTTCTAGAACCTGAAGTTATGAAAATAATAAATGTTTTGAAATGATAGGTTGTTCACATTAAAAAAAAAAAAATCCCATTTTGTATACGTCAATAGCAAAACAAAAACAATATGCTGCAGGTTGGTAACGTTGTTGGTTGATGTAGGAATTTCATAAGCCTTAGACTCATCTTTAATATTTTGAAGCTATTATTATTCATTTTTTTTAATTAATAAACATGGAAATAATATTCATGGAATTTTTTTTTTACATACCACTAATGTAAAGATGCAGGTTACAGAGCGGAAAAAAATCTTTATCATGAAATTTAAATTAACAAATCAAACATTGAATTAAAATGAATACTCAAAAATGGTTGGTTTACAACGAGAATAGATAATTAATATTAAATTTTTTATTTTAAAAACAATTAAAATTTGTTTGTTTAAATGTTTCAGCGAAATAGATTTATAATCCTATGTAAAAATAAATTATATAAATTTAGCCTACCTTGTATCCTCCTGTAGTAAGCCCTGCGTTCCTTTTCGCCAACACACATTTCATTCGCAAGAAAAATACACGTTGAAGTTCAAACACATTGGAATCTATAAAACCGTATAATAACTGATTTGTTTAGTATTTTCATTTGCTAAAATTATATAAATAGTATTGCAATAACTTACTCAACATCATGTTTTCCGAAGGTAGGTTTGGAGGTGGATGATGCGGACTCAGTACTGATATCATTTCATCGTGATCAGATTGATGAATATATTCAAATATACTGTTTCCAGTTAATTCCACCTGAACATAACACAATAAAAGTTATTATTAAATTGAAACTACCAGAAAAAATATTTCATAAGTGACCACTTTTTTTACTATTTTTTTCGTATGTGTATATGTATATATGTATGTACCTGTGATAATCCCAAGTGGACTGACGCTGTTTCAGATATATACATGATCTTTCCATCGCCGCCTACGACGAATATAAAGCCATCAAGACTCTAAAACATAAAAAAAAAAAAATAATAATAATTTAAGTAACGTTTTTCAATTAATCAATCAAAAAATAAATATCATATAGATTAATCGTGGCTCCGGGTATGACACGTTTTAAACAGTTCTCCGAGAATCATCGTTATATATTCATATTACGTTATGAATGTTAATATGTAGTTTATAATGTTCAATATCATTAATATAATATAATAATAATGATAATATTATTATAATTATTTTTAAAATGTTAAATACATTCAATTTTTATACGCATAGAAATTTAATTTAATTTAATTCATATAAATACATCTGCATTTAAATCAATAAAAAAATTAAAAAACGATTTGGAGGGGTAAAAAATAATGTCATTTAATTTCCGAATCCGCCATATTTTTCATTTTACCCGTTATACATCCAATTACCTTCAATATATTTACCTGTAGTAAATATGAACCGAGCTCTTTGATGCAAGCATCTTTGACGTGATTCGGTGGAGTCACTGCACCCCACGCGTCTCCCAAACCTAGACCGAACACAACCATAAACCATTATTATAATTAACATTTCAAAATAAATATTCAATACAGAAATATAAATAAATTATACCTACATACAAATATTGTATATATATATATAAATTATATATTTATGTACATACATTATGCATGGGTATTCATGAATTATACACATGTACAAATAAACTATTTGCTGATTACACCTGATGGTGGTTCTTACCGTCTGGAAAGACGTGCCTCATTTTCAAATAGCTCGTGGTCAACCGGATTACCGAGGCTTTATCTAACTGGCTGGTGATGGCCGACGGTAACGGCAAGAGTTTGGCAAGCTCTAGGAATTCGGCGTTCTCGTTCTCCCTACGTGTCCTCGCCGCATTTCTGCTCCTCTCTCTCATCTCTGTGGTACCCAGAAAAAATAAAAATAAAAATAATTTTAAATGATTATTGACACGTGCACGTGTAATATTAATTACAAATACATTATTATATATATTACATTATTAGCTATAACGCAGCAGCAGTGCATTATAATTCGCGTATAATAGACTTATGGTATAATAATATGAACAAAAATATTATATAGATGAAACGTATATTACCACCGGCGTGCATTTTGGGTTCCTTATATTTTTTCAGCGGCGAACACATTAATAACAGAATATTTTAAATAAAATTATATCGAAACACATGGCGAAAATTGTGCGAATCCTGCGACGGTTAAAAAAACTAGCTCTATCTGACACTGGCTCGCCGAGACAACTACACAAACTATCGGAACTAAAACAATTTGACTACACAGCATGGTTTGTTTTGCAAAGCAACCTTGACACCGAGTATGGAGTATACAATGTTTATAAAACGGTCACTATATTTGTTTTATTTCCTAGTCGTTTAAGTATTAAATGTTTATATTTAGAAATTAAAGAAAAAAGGTTGACCTCGAGTTTACCGTTGCAGGTCATTTTCCTCTGATGCAAATCTACCAATGGTGGTACTTATAGATAACAAAGATGTCAAGCAAAACTTATAAAACGTAATTATTTCGAGTGTATAATAAAGAACACCGACTATTGGAATATCGTAAAAATCTTGTACAAATCGATTGATTGGTCCTATACATAACACCACTTTCAAAGAATTTTAAATGTTTTAGACTTTTAACGATTCTAAAACTGTGGGACGCGCCTCTCTAAGGAGGCGTGAACATTTTTAAAAAGCAATAAATTATGAAAACATTATTTTTGATTATTTATATATAATTGAGACATAATAATGTCTCAAAGAAAAAACATCTAATTAAGTCACAATTAATTGGAACTAAGCAGTGCCAACCCTCTCTTTAATTTATATCTATTTAATAATAATTAATTTAAAAATGTAATATTTAAATCAATACTAGACTATCAAGCGCTATGGAACTAAAGAGGTTAGATGGAAAAATGAAAGAGCCCAGAGCCCGTGTTTGACAACAAAACTAATCATAAGATTGAATAAAAGAGAAAAGAGAGATATACTCGTATATTAAACATATTTAAATCTTAATATGATTTGGAGGGCGTGACAATGAATTTTATACTATTTGTCATTTGAGCGTTACTTAAGTTAATTATATATGTATGTATAATTATAGTTATTTTTTTAAAAAACGTACTACCTAAATACTGGTGTGTATCAACAGCAGTAAATTGAAAATTCTCTGTTCCGAAAATGTGTTCGCTTTTGAAGGAATGAGATATGCTTAACCGGGACAGTGTAAAATTTAGTTCACGGTAATATTTTTACGCTATTGTCAACGGACATTTCATTGTAGTTTGTGTGAAATCTTATCTCTAAACCTATTTTAGTAATAGGTGATATCAGTGTAAAACATTTAAAGCATTATTTTTCTACATTAATATATCGTGTTACTTATTCTAAACAACATGTGATAACGTCATTTCTTAAGTAATAAGGAGAACCACTATGCATTACCTATGCGATAACATTTGTTTCGAAGTATTGATCATGCATACAACTATGGACGTATGTGCTATTCAACCGTACGTACTACACAAGAGTGAAATTCGCCTGTTGTTTTCGAAAACAAGTTATATTCAAGATTAATTAGAAATTTGATGACATCACAGTGTAAACAAATAATTTTTATACGAAATACAATATATTTTACACACCGATTTGATGCATATTATGTATAACAATTATACTAGGAATTGAAACACTACCTGTAATTATATTTAATATAAGCTCTAGTTTTTATACTGAACATTAGACACCATAATATTAGATTATTAACATTTATAGAAAAATACGTTAAGAAAATACGAATGATTGATAAAGAGATAGAAAATTGAGAATTCGGAATTCCTATGTACTTATAATTTATATAAAAAAAAAAAACGCCTTAAATTCTACAGATACAACGTATACAAGGTATACGTATTAAGGTTAAGTAGTGTCCCTGGTGAATCGTCGAAAACATACCCTTTCCGGAAAAACGTTTTACTAAAATTACTTAATTTATTTCAATAGATGTTTTGTTTTAAGTTAAGTGACATTTTTTAATCTGATTTTGGTGAATTTTTTTCCAGCTCCGTTTTTTTTTTAAATCCTGATTTTTCTTTATAGGTTCTAATAGTTCTACTTCATTTTTAATTTCAATAACTACATTATTATGTTCTTTATTTTTTTCTACGAAGATCAAGATTATATGCCGGGATAATCGATATGAAATCATTAATTAAACCATTGCAATTTCGGGTTAGCCAATGAAACATATTTGAGGACAATTTTTTCTTTTCTTTTTTTTTTTTCTTCACTCTATCCTTATCAACCCATAAACCAGAATTTTTTTTGAAGACATATTATTGTTTAACCTACATACCTATTGACAATTCAAAATTTATTAATTTTGCTGTACGCACATCATTAATGTTACTTCTAAGTTTAAATGTAAAACAGTTAGGAAAAATCATAAAATGTTTTCGAAACAATATTATTTTTATATATTTTGATACAAAATGTGCTTATATTATTTTATTAATTTAATTATAAATATATATATTTGCTTCTTATTATTATTTATACTTCTAAAAACTGTGTATTATGAACTTATAAAATGGAAAGAAGAAACATCAAAATTATGATTTGTCATTAAAAAAGTAATCTATTATATTAAATTGTGTTCAATATTAAATTAATATTATTAATTAAATGGATACGAAAAAATGGTGTAAGTTATGATTGTAATAGTGTGCTATTCCTTGTATTATTATTATTAATTATTACAATACATAATATTATATAAGTACTTACAAAATTGTTATGTATGTAACACGTCCTTTGAATAAAATGACAAAAAACTTAGTACAGTTTAGTGTATATTAAATTTAAATTTAAAATAACATAATATAAACCCATATTTAACACCTAAATATATCATAGTTGGAAATATTTTACTGAATTATGGTTGCAGACCAAGAATATATATATTTATTATCTTACATTCTTACGATTTTTCGACGACACGCTGCGACATACTAGCTACTGTGTTTATTAATAACAATTTTTTTATGCATTAACATTTTATTATAAATTATACACCGATATTAAATCGTTAGTAATTGACATTGTAACTTAACATTATTACTTACTTCTTGTATGTCATAAGTATCAGTGTTCAAAGATGCAAAGCCACACCTACAGTGTGATTTATTCATTTTAAACATATTTCATAAAATGTAATATATTTAATATCAAAAAAAAAGTTATTAATTCGAATAATTTAAAAATATTTAGTTAAGAATAGTGACTTGGTAATTTTTAGTCCTAAATTTGCGTCTCTCTTGGAATTGCGCTCTTGACCCACGCTCTTTTGCCTTGCCTTGAATACGACCCAGACGTATTTAACAGATTGATTTCTTAAAAGACCACGAAAGGAAAAATACAACAAATTCTTGACAGGAAAACAGAAGTCCAAATTAAACTAATTTACAACTTTTTGTTAGCGAATTTCATGGTAATTTAAAGTTAGCGTGTGATGTCATACAATCTATTATCGCGGTGGCTCCAGTTTTACCACGTACTTATTATGCTATAATTAATACATTTTGACTTTCATATTTTTTTGAATGATTTATTCTTTCAGTTCTAACTTTTTAAAACATATCCTAATATTCCTAATGTATTTTAATTCTACCTAATGAAATTTTAAAAGTGTTTATTTAAAAAAAAAAAATACCCACTTTCTAAATGTATCACGATATTTTCTCCAGAACAGAAAAATTGTAAATTTTTGCTTGGATATGACGAACTACCATAAACATAACATAGAGCCATATTTATAATTTTTGTGCACCTTCTTATTGTAACACTTTTATAATATTTTATAAAGCTTAAATGTATATAACACTATACAAATAAAAGAAAAACGAAAAAGTTTTAAAAAACGTAACCGCTTTAACAAACACGTAGCGACAATCATTCATATCATAGTTCACGAAGGACTGATTTAGTGATTTATAAATCTTAAATAATTCAAATGACTAAACTGTCATAATTTTGTGCAATAGCGATAAATAATATCGGAGTGGGAACTGAGAGTACAATCAACAGTTACAATAATGTAGTAGAAACTAAATCGCGCCGTTGATATTGACTGTTGAACAGTATCATATTGGGACTATGCTATTATAATTGTTAATGCTATAACTTATGACATAATGTTATAAAATTTAATTAAATAGAAAATTATGAACTTAAAAAATATACCTAATACCCAACCCGATAAATTGAGTTTTACGCTAATAATAATGGATAAGTAAAGTTGAAGACATAATATTTAAATGTATAAACGCCATGATAGTAGATTCTATGGCGTTACACGTCAACTTCAAATGTCAAATATACCACCAACGAAAAGTCGTAAACATTTTTAGTTAGGACCATTTTTTTTTTAAATATAAAAATATTATTAATTTTAACCTTTCACGGTCCTCTGCACTCTGTGTACAATAAACCGTCGATGGATTTATTTCACGGTTCGAACTACCATTATGATTTTGCATTGGAGTTTAATAGAACAACGTAAATGCGAAAACATATTCGCTATGTAATATTACGATTCTGCAGGTAATAATAACGCTCTAAATCTCATCGGATTTCGCAGCAATAAACGTTATCGACTATGTCCAACAAACGTTGGATAATAATTATGAAGCGCGCGCGCGCGCGCACACATTTCAAATAAGATTCTTAACTGACTCGCGACATGTACGTACTACATGTAGGTAATACGAACGAGACGAGACGACTGGTACTCGGGTGCGTATCGTCAGATTTAAGAGCGCGGGCGCAAGCTTTATCGGCACGACCCGCCGATAAAAGTGGGCAAACCGCGGGCGCACGTGCGCGCGGTCGAGCGTCATTGGCGACTACGGTGACGCACTCGGTTTAGCGAGAACGTGATTTATCTACCAAAGCACTAACAATCAAAATCCGTTTAAGCAAAAATGTTTCAAACTCACGTACTTGATATTTCGATAGGGTACCCACCGCGGGTTTACTGATAAAAAATAACAGAATAAAAAAAAAAAAATAAAAAAAATGAAAAGTAATGATAATAATAATAAAGTTTTGAGGAAATAGCTAGAATAAAAAAAAAACGGGAAATGGCGGGGACGGTGAAACGTCCTTAATCTCGAACGGTATAACGAGATTCATATATATATATATATATAAAATATACGTTACAATATTATAATACTACGCATATTTATATACCTTTGGGCATCGGTAACTCGGATTTCCTGAAGCATTTCCTTTTCGTTTTCATTTTCAACTGCTGGCACATAGTAGTCCCGTAAGTCGGCGGCAAAACGTTTTCCTGGCACATGTGTACACGTTCGACTGTGTTTTACGATCGGAGCCCACGGCGATAGAACATTAACTGTGCACCGCACTACGATGACCACTACTACCACCGCTATTCGACGACCGCCGTACTCGTACGATACACGGTTTATACCTACACACGCACGGAGCACACTCACATTAGACACTACGCGGGGCACCGCTAAAACGTATATGGCCATGTACGCGCCGACGGGACGGAGAAATTTTGGAAACACATAATAGACGCACACCAGGTACGGCACGGACCGTAGGGCGAGGTGGAGGGGCCAAAAAGGTAGACATAGGGTCGCCGAGCTATTCGGGCTCCTCGCAGTCTGGCCGACCCGAACGCTTTGTCCGGTCGAAACCTTTCGGGATAAGTCACCGCACTACATGTACTACAATGATATCGCACGCGTGAACAGATGTGTGTTTTATTGACGGGACGGTCTTCTTATTATTTTTTTTTTTTTTCCATAAAAACATCACAATTTTTTTTTTTTTATGCACACACGCACTCGTACATTGTAGGGGCACGCACGATTTTAGTAGGAAATCTATTGAGTTTTCAGGTAAAATTTAAGTCTAGAGGAACAAAACAAAACGTATTATTATTATTATTTTCCTCGTCGTGATGCCGCCGATGAATACCGATTATAAATTATAAACCTACAGTTATATGACAACATAATATACTTAGATACACATCTATTGAGCACAATAATAATGCACGCGTTAAATAACGCATAAAGCGTTTTGTACATAATAAATATATATATATATATATATATATATATATATATATATATATATAT